AAAAAAAAAAAAAAAAAAAAAAAAATCTTTCAGTGGGTTATTTCATCTTTTCTGGCACTTTCTTCATCAGGCTTTTCCTCTTCAGCTTTGTAACAATACCCACACCCTGACACACACCCCCCAACCCTCCAGCCACACAGCAGGCCCACAGCCGCATAGTCCTGGGCCCGGGCCAACCACGCTGCTGATGCCAGCCTGCCACTTGCCCCCCATCCGTGTGCAGCATCTGAGGTGCCTTCTCTTCCCCAGCACCTCTGGAGATTCGGTTCAGGGGTTCAGATGCCCCCAGCAGTGGGCGCCTGCTTGGCCCTGCTGCGTGCACACAGCTGTGGTCAAGGTTTGCCCTCACAGGCTGCACCAAACTGCAACCTCTGTCTCCCCATTCTTCCCCAGACTGCACTTGAGGATGACAGTTGGACCCATGTCTCAATGGGGTACTCAGTGTCCAGCACCCAGTTTGGTGATAAAGTGGAGCCTTCCTTTCTCCCGAAGGGTTCTATGCAAAATATTCAGACATAACGCCAGTGCTCGCGTTTTGTCATGGTTTGTTCTCTCCAGAAAATGAATTGTGATTTGCCCCCGTCTCTCTTACCTAGTGGTAAGCATCTGTGGCATTCAGGACGACGATCCCCCTGACGCCCAGCTCCTGAGACTGGGTGACATGCTGCTGGCCGAGGGCGTGTGCAGGCCTGAGAAGACAGGAAGAGGAGGAGCGGTGGCCGGGAACGGCACAGCAACACCAGGTGGCTGTCCAAATGACAATAGCATTGAGCACTCTGACTACAGGGCCAGGCTGTCCCAGATACGACAGATTTACCACTCTGAGCTAGAGAAATATGAACAGGTGATCTTTCTGCATAGAAGAGTTTCTATCATGTGAATGCGCGTTCGTCAAAGCGAAACATAGAACGCTAACTACCTTCTTTTCATGGCACAGAACAGGGAGCCCATGCAGTTGGTCACTGCAGAGGTGGCTGATTTTCACTGAAAGCCCTTTCCGTTTGCTTAACAGTCACCCACCGGTATGTGAGCCACAAGGGTTGGCAGGCAGCCGCCCCACTGTGGAACCTGCTGCCCCGTGCCACCCTGCCGCCTAGTCACAGGCCGGCGTGTCTGTGCTCCCACCGCAGGCCTGCTGTGAGTTCACCACACACGTCACCAACCTCCTCCAGGAGCAGAGCAAGATGAGGCCCGTCTCCCCAAAGGAGATTGAGCGCATGGTCGGCGCCATCCACGGCAAGTTTGGTGCCATCCAGATGCAATTGAAGCAGAGCACCTGCAAGGCCGTGATGATGCTGCGCTCGCGGCTGCTCGATGCCAGGTCATCATCTCAGGGCCCACATGCGCCTGAGACCCCGAGGGCCGGCTCTGACGGTGCTGGAGGGAAGCAGTGCTGGCTGAAGCTGAAAACAGCCCCGGACGCTGTGTCTGCGGTTGCGGGTGGGAGGCCTCACACAGCCTCTTGGGAAGAAGACCTGGAGTATTGATTGCTGTTTTCACTTTTATTTATTTGTATCTTTTTATTTTATTCTTATTTATTTATTTATTTGAGATTGAGTCTCACTCTAGTGCCCAGGCTGGAGTGCAGTGGTGCGATCTCGGCTCACTGCAACCTTTGCCTCCCAGGTTCAAGCAATTCTCCGCAGCCTCCCAAGTAGCTGGGATTACAGCCACCCGCCACTACACCTGGACAATTTTTGTATTTTTAGTGGAGACAGCGTTTCACTATGTTGGCCAGGCTGGTCTCGAACTACTGACCTCAAGTGATTGATTGCTGTTTTCAGAACTGCTGGAAAATCACTCAGCCGGAGGCAGGGGTGGTCCTGGAGTCCCAGCATTTTAATGCCAACTGAGGCTGGCTGCTTTTGCAGGCGCAAGCGGCAGAATTTCAGCAAGCAGGCGACGGAAGTGCTGAATGAATATTTTTATTCCCATTTGAGCAACCCTTACCCCAGCGAAGAAGCCAAAGAAGAGCTGGCCAGGAAGGGCGGCATCACCGTCTCACAGGTGACTCCCCACGTCTGGGAGGGGTGGATGGTTAAGTCCCATCAGGGATACCCAGGGAAGTTCATTCAATGTGTGCAGAGGCCAGGCATGGGTGCTGAAATCCTAGTGCTTTGGGAGGATGAGTCAGGAGGGTCACTTGAAGCCAGGAGTTCGGGACCAGCCCAGGCAACATAGTGAGACACTCTCTCTACAAAAAATAAAAAAAAATTAGCCAGGCTTGGTGGTGTGCACCTGTGGTCTCAGCTTCTTGGGATGCTGAGGTGGGAGGATCATGTGAGCCCAGGAGGTTGAGGCTGCAGTGAGCTATGATGGCACCACTGCACTCCAGCCTGGGGAGGAAGTGAGATGCTGTCTCTGAAAAACAAACGAAGTGTGGAACAGAAGCCAAGTCTCCAGCTCTAGGAATGTGGGTCTCCAGTGCTCTCCCTTCTCATCTGTGAGGTAGAAGTGCAAGTGTACCCGTGGAGAGACATGGGGACATCCTGAGGGATGTGGATGGAAGATGAGGTCCCACAGGTGATGCTGTGGAGTGTGAGCTCCCCGAGGGATACAGGCGGAGTGTGAGCATCCCGAGGGATACAGGTGGACTGTGAGCATCCCGAGGGATACAGGTGGAGTGTGAGCATCCCGAGGGATACAGGTGGAGTGTGAGCTCCCCGAGGGATACAGGTGGAGTGT